TTTGTTAAATCCCAACTGTAACTCGGTAAACGTCCTTCGTTTCCCTTCCTTGGTTAAACTACACAGTCAGTGTACAAATCAGATGTGCACACATTTTCAGCAGCTTGATTTAAAACTGTCTCATTCGGAACCAAAGTTTGGTTTCCATGATATCTCTTTACTGTATTCTCTTCAGAAGCGAGTTTTACTTTTATTTTCGCTAATTGCAAATTTTTCCCTGCACGACCTGGGATCAACAATGTTACAATGTCAATAATACGATCAGATCATTGCAAAGTCAAACTTTCAAGTAAGAATGTAACAATCTGACAAGACTGTATCACACACGCTTTCGGGAGAGGTAATGGGACGCTTTGTATTTAATAAAGGATTCAGTTGATCGGATCGGAAAACATACCACAAAGTAGAAATCGACTGGAACGGTTTGAATCTGCAATACATTATTATACTCGATCGTAACGTCCATCAAGTCATAAAAAAATCGTAAAGCAAGACTAAGTGTCGCCACAATACGTCCACTTTTTAAGTTGGACAAAGAAATTTACTCTCATAACGCAGTGTCCTTAATTGCTTGGTAATTCTATAATGATGTCGACCAGTGACACGTGCTGGACAAATTGCGGCACTATAGCCATCGTTGTGATTTGGGATGTCAAATGACTGGACAGCAAAGTAACATGACGTTAGTCTGTGAACATCTGGCGGACACTAATATGCAGTGCTAATAAATTTCTCCCTAAATACTGTTTTGACTGTCCCATCCCCACCCCTTTCCCCCTGTTCCCATCCGTTTTCCCCTCTCTCCCGCCTGCTTTTGTCAATTCACACCATCAGCATAGGCCTAATACGTGAAGACAGACAGAAAGACACACTAAGAGATACATTCTTATAAACCATCGACGGTACTCCGGGGGAGGGGCTGGTGGTATGTCTGTTTGCTAAAAAAGCCTATGTTTGTACTGACGCAACAGTGACCACTTGTCATTCGTCGTCCATGCCGAATTCGCCCAACGGCAGAGACCAGGGGACAACGCCGAAAGAGCAGTGATCCTTGACCGATCGACCATTCGTCGTTCTCCCTTACACTGAGCTCTGGCTCGGAGCTCGCCAGTGTAAGGGAAAACGACGAACTCTCAATTATGATACAACGGATTAAGATATGACTAAAATTTTTACACCATCAGATGCAGAATTAAATACTCTATGAAATATGTAAGAATACAAAAATTTTGACCATTCGTCGTTTTCCCTTACGACGGCAGAACAGAGCAATGGCAATTTAAGCCCAATCGTATCAATATTCTAAAGAAGAGTCCTACATTTTTTTAGTGTGCAAAATAATGATATATTTTGTTGTGTAAAATTAGTAAGACTGGTGCCTGGGCTTTTATTTGAGCATCACGATAAAACGATAAAACAAAGTCGCATAAACTTTCAAATTGTTTTTAAAAACTGAAACAAAACTTACGATTTTCGGTGGAAACGCTTGGCCCGGAAGTCAACAATAACATGGATATGTGGATTGGAATATAATCTAAGCTAAAATTGATCGTCGGTTCTCGTACTGACAGCACTTTAGCCGCGTGCCGCTCCTCCCCCCACGGCTCGGCGTAGCGAATGAGTTAACCTCTTTGCCGTATAATTTATGGGCCTGAACCGTGTAGCTCTGTGCCTATGGCCCGTAGAATTTACGGGACTGTGACAGAGGTTGTTTTGATACCAATTACAAGGGAAGTTACTGCTAAAATCTAGTAATTATTATTGGGGTACCTGCCCTTTATGTTTACCTCCATTTTCCCCCCATTTGAAAGATTCAGATTCAGATTTTATCTCGAAGAGAAGATTAGATCTAGATCTAACACATCTACCACACAAAAATGATTTACTGGTTGTAAACACAGATGGGCTTAATATGTATACGTGTGGATTTATGAGCTTTGTATAAGGAAGGAAAAGCTTCTTTACCTGCAGACACTCACACAACATGTATTCCTCTTTTTTTGGGTTTCAGTTTATCATATCTCGAATGTATGTTGTTGTATGTTATTTGGTGGTGTTGTTTTTGGCATCATGTTACCAACTCCAACTTTTCTCCATCTATCTCTCAAAAATATAATGCCAAAATTATACCAATAGAAACGTGGTTCAATGTAGAATGTTCATGCAGAAATTCATGAGGAAATATTCATGAATTAAAATGTTATAACAATAATGTGGAAGATCATTTCTATAGCGCCCACTCCTGTGTAAACACAGCTCTAGGCGCTTTACATAAATGCATACACAAACAATATTCACGCACACGACACACACACGCACACACACACACTCATACACCCACACACACACACATATCTACTTGTTTATCACACGCGCATGCTTACACATAGTTACCAAATGAGCACATACACATACATAATAGAATAATATACAAAATGCAATTTGCAAGATACATAAATGGATACATAGTCATTTACATAACATAGTACTGAACACGAATCTACTGACATAAAAATGATGTCATTAAATGTATCTTTTAAGATTTTAAAAATTTAGACTCAGAAGTTGTATGTCTCAAGGGTTGTGGAAGAGAGTTCCAAACTGATGGAGCAAGGTTTCCAAACTGATGGAGCAAGGTGGGCAAACGATCTTTCAGCTTATTTTTTACCCCCTTTTCCAGGAACTCTTAAAAGATACTGATCGCCTGGAACATAAATCTGGATGAGACCACTAACATATGAGGGAGCTTTGTTATTGACACATTTATGACATAATATTGCAATTTCATATGACATTTTAGCTGACACGGGAAGCCAAAGCAATGTTCTTCACCTGGGAGTAATGTGATCCCTCTTCTTTTTCTTTAGTACAAGCCTAGCAGCATGATTTTCAAAACGTTGTAACTTGTGAAGAGTGGTATTTGGTAAGTTACCTAGTAAAGCATTCCAATAATCGATGCGTGAAAACAAGAAACATGACACGAGCGTTTTCAACGAGTGTTCATTTAAAAACATAGACATATCACCAATTCTACGCAATTCACAAAATAAAAAGGTACATATGTCAGTACAAATATGATCAATGTCTATGGGGATATGGCTTTTATTTGGGTTACATAAAATAATTTCAGTTTTATTTTCATTAAGTTGGAGCTTATTATCAATCATCGACTTTTTGACATCATCAATGCACAGACCCATGGTGGTAAGCAAGGTGGAACAGATTTATATAACTGTGTTTCGTCTGTGTACATGTGATAATTCATATTGTGCTTTCTGATCACAGCTCCAAGCGGCTGTTTATATAATGTATACAAGACTGGACCCAATACTGAACCTTGAGGCACTCCAAAGTCTAGTCTAAAAATTGACGAAAGAGAGTCGTGTACAACCACAGATTGTGTACGGAAAATCAGGTTGGAAGGGTGAAAGGGAGATGAAACTAACAATGGACCCTTAAATATACCAAATTAAGAGAGGTAGAGTAGGGTAACCCCTGAGCCGCCTTGGTTCTTGGGAATCCCCCTGGCACAGAGGCCTATTTACCTGCGGCAAGGAAGGGTTTAAGCACAACATATACAAATTTCAAAGCTATAGCATTATTTTTGTTGGAATACGAAAAGATTTTGGGAGGTATATATGAAGAAACCCCAACCTATTGGCAAAGGCTCATAATTATGTATATATCAAGAAAAGAATGGATATTTTGCAAGTATATTGTCTGTAACTTGCTATGGATGCTGTTGTGTATTGTAATTGTAAGGTACAGTACAATCCGCTTTTATCAACATGCTCTAGGAAGTGGATTTGATGTCGATATATAAAATTATTGTCGATAAATGAAATACAAAGCTAAAGAAGAAAAAACAAGGGGAGGTCAGCGGTAAATAGACAACACTACTTTTTTAAGCTGGTTGCTTCCCTTGATTCTTACACAACTACACAGTGAAACTGACATAGTAACAAGAGGCAGAGGGGAAGGTGGGGGGTGGAGTTACGGTACCAAAGATCGAGCATAGCGAGGCGCACACTACACACCAGTGCAAACTTTGTTGTAGCATCCTTGTAAGTTCTGTTTATGGCCGCCTGCTAGGGGAAATGGAAAGGCGAGGCACTAGCCAGCGACAGACTGAGAATGGGATGGGGAAGGGGAGTGAGCGATCAGGAGTGGGGGTAGGGAGGTGATACCCAGCACGCGATACGCCCATGTCAGTGAGGCACTGTACTGTGTTGGAGACTACACTGTGTAGGCCCTACATCACCTACTAAAGCCTGGTATGTCGAATAGGCTACTTGGCAGTTAAACAGACTTAATGAAGAACTAATGCGTTGACTGTTAGTGTGGCTTTCCCCCCCCATTTATGTTCGTGGGCTTCGCCAGGTACCCAGGAAGCATGTCGATAAAGCAGAATGGGCCGAAAAAAAGTCTATTATAAGAGGAATTGTTTAGTGAAGATATTGAAGGAAAAATTTCGTAATTTGAAAATATGTCGATATGTCAAAATGTCGATACATCGGCTGTCGATATAAGTGGATTATACTGAACTTAATATTTACTCATAGAGATAAAGACTGAGTTAAAAGAAACCCAACTAAGTGAAAGCATCTCTCTCTCTTTCCCTCTCTCTCTCTCTCTCTCTCTATCTATGTCTCTCTCTCTGACACAAATTATTTGATCAGATGACTTCTAAAAATCAAAATAAGCAAGAGATTAATACAGTTGGTTGTCTCAAACATTACGTAATGGTATATACGGGTATTTGTGTGTCTGGGTGGTGGGGAGACTCTGGAAAGCAGAAAGAATAGGTAGCAGTATAATACTCGTACTTGCACATCACTTCAAACTCATGTTCGTTTGTTTGTTATTTGTTGTTTTTTTGGGGGGTGGGGGGCAAGAATGAGAGAGAGAGAGAGAGAGAGAGAGAGAGAGAGAGAGAGAGAGAGAGAGAGAGATAGAAAGAGAGAGAGAGAAAGAGAGAGAGACAGAGAGAGTTGGGGGGGGGGGGGGGAGAAGAGACTCTGAAATTGAGAGAGAATGGGTTACGTAATTTATATAAAGTAACAATGAATATCGGGCGGGGAATAATGTCAGTTTAGTTTACACAGAGTAGGGCAAATCACAATAGCTTTGTGCTTTCGACTCTTTTTCCATTTAGTGACCCATACACTCGTAATAGAAACAAAATAGTACCAACATGACATCGAACTTTTCATCAGTGTTTCCCCGTAGTATCAGCTGTAGACATTTCCTACAGGCAACTTGACCCCTTGCCGTTGAAGGGTGCGCAGAACATCAAGGATAGAGTCAAGTTCTGCCCGGAACACTTGAAGCTGTGTGGGAAAAAATGCAAAGCAGATGAAACTAACAATGGACCCTTAAATAGACCAACTTAAAGTCAAAGACAAAAAGTAGGAGCAGGGCAGTGAAAAAAGCAAGTCTAATGGGGGGCGAACGAAAAAGAGGGTGAGGGGGGGAGAGAGATACAGATAGAGATAGAGATAGAGAGATAGAGATAGAGAGAGAGAGAGAGAGAGAGAGAGAGAGAGAGAGAGAAAGAGAGAAATTTGCATGTAATTTTTAAAAACTGATTAAAAGCGTGTTAAAAAAATGTTATTGGGAAAAGTGACATGTCAGATCTATTCCCAATACGTTGAAGTAGCCAATGCAATATACAGCTAAAAATGTATCATTTTTGAGAAACATCGCATTTTTTGCCTTGAATATTACCTGTGGTGTACCTTAATCAACATGTTTCAGTAAAATCCACACAATTATGTTTTTAAAGGAACAGTGTTGAGCCAAAAAACAAAAATTTTAATAAAAATTGTCAAACAGGCAGGAAAATGTCCATTTCTATGAACGTCTGATATCACGACGACGATGCCTCACAATTAGTTTCAAATCAAGTACGTAGAAAAAAGGTCACTGTGCAAATTTATAAACAGACAACAGTGACAACATAAAGTTACCCCTTTATTCCAGATTATGTAGCGGAGATTGGCCACAGCAACTTTTTTATTATCCAGGGTTTCAAACACCCCAAACAAAGAAAACAGAAAATGATGAGCAGTGGAAATGCCCTTTCTTTGTTTTTGAAAAGTTTTAAGCCCATAAGTAATTTTATAGACAGCACAAATTTGTCCTCCTTCCTTTTCAAACCAAAAAATCAAAATGTCTTTAGACTTGACACAGAAGAAAAATTTGGCTACGCTGGAACCAAACAAGATCCTACAGGGTTCAGGAAGGGTATTTGTCACCTGTTGGTTCTTGGCCTCGACCACTCTCTTCCACTTGTCCACCTCCTCCTCCACCTCCACACGGCTGGACTGCTGGTTTTGCTTAACTACAGAGTCAAGCTCCGCCTCACGTCTCCGCTGTTTCTCCACCATTTCTGCTAGTTTGTCTTCTAATGACTCAAAATGGCGCATTTCCTGGAAACAGTTACAAAATCATAAAAGTATTTGTCCTTAACTCCCAGGGGGGTAAACCCACTACGCCCGCGCCCTTTTTTGGTACTAAATCTAAAAATGACGAAAATGTCACTTTATGGGTAATTAAATCAAAATTAGCGAACCTATTAGGATAGTACTTCATCTAAAGAATGAACTTCCTGTATAAGATACCTGTTTTCAGCAATTGCCGAAAAGTAATTTGATGTCGAAGTCGTCGTAAAGGCACATGCCCGAGTCGCTGTCAGCGGCTTACCAGCACAGTGGTTCTGACCGCGAGCCACTGGGTGCGGCTTGCCGGAGATAAAGAGTTAAACTTATGAGATAAGGCACGAATCTTTTCCCATCAAAATATGATAATTCTACGCTATTTCCTATTGTCTTCACATCCACATGATCATGATTTTCACATGAAAAAAGAGGAATATACAGTAGACGACGGATGAGTTGATGTTGTCGGGGGAGAAAAAGATCAACTAATCCGAACTTAACTGTCGGGACCATTGTATCAAGGGACATAACAAAATCTTAGCCAGTGCTCAAATTTTAATGTTAGTCCTGTGATTAAGTGGTGTCGTCAAGTGGCAGCTCTCTCCAAAGTCCCGACATTCTATTATTATGTGTCTAAAGGTAAAATCTGCATTGTATCCAACCCAGAAGGGTTTATCATCTCACTGCAGCAGATATTTATGGGTCAGGGAGGCATGTCCAATACAAAATCGAGTAAGGTTTTTGTGGGACCAGTTTGGGTATAATACAGTGGAGCTGGTTATTTTGTTGTTCACGCCAGTTTCTCCCAAAGACTGGAGTGTGGCTATTGACCTTATTTTTAAAGTCTGTCTGCGGGAGGGTGTTCTCCATTCATCCCCACATAAGGGACGAGGATTTCTTTGCAAGGAGATTGACCTGCTCGTTTCCTCCGGTGCCCACATGACTAAGCAGCCATGCCGACATGATACTTTTCCCCTGTTCAGTCAGGGAATGAATCCTCAACTGCAACTTATTTACTTTCCTGTGACAGATTGTAGGATTGGAGAGCGAAATGAGGCTAGACAGGGTATTGGACAGAATATGTGTGTGTGCCTAAAGAAAGGTACCAAAAGTCGCCACAGACCATTTTGAGCTACAGGCTGTAACTAACCAAAAAATCACCTTTTTTTGACCAAAATGTGTTTCCATTAAAAAAATGATAGTTCCACCCTTTTATAACAATGTGTTAAAAGAGTTTTCACTGATTTGACTTCTAAATATTTTATTTTGAATCATTTTGAGGGTAGGGTATGTTTAAAAAGATAATGAAAACTGCGTTTAAAAGGTGTTAAAATCTATTCTTGAAGCACGTTTTCTCTTCCCCAATATGTTTTACTATTGACTTCTAATCATGATATTCATTGATATCAACTGAATGCCGAATGGGAAATGAATTTTCCAAGAATAAATAAATTAGAAACAATTGAATCCTCATTTTTTTTTTCAAGTTTGTATGTATTCTAAACTGAAAAGCTAATTTTCTCAAAATTAAATCTTTATACCCTACCTCGCAAAATGTGCAACATCTAAAAAACTACTTGAGATATCTCAAAAATTACAAAACTAAAACCACTGTGTTCAGCATTGAATGTCCTATTAGGTACAACCCAATTCAAAATGGTTAAAATCCGACTTTTGGTACCTTTCTTTAGTTTAGGCACACACACAGGAAAAGATGACTTGGGAGAATTTTCTACAAAGTCCAGTGCAATATCAATGGCAGAAAAACGGAGGCCTCGGGATAGGGCCTCCTCTTGAGTATTGTGTGTGGACAGGGTAGTTGCGCCTACAGTGGAGTCCGATTTAGAGCCATCTGGGAAGATTTTCTCTGCATCGGGGTATTTTTTAAATTAGCTTTTTTTGTATGCGGCATTGAATGTTTTTGTGTTTGTGCATGATTTGTTATGTGTGGTAAGGTCTAGGTTTATTTTTGTAATGGTGAAGTGCCATGGAGGAAGGTTAAGGAAAAGAAATTGTTCTATGTCTTCTTTGGAGAAGTCTACGTTTTTGCCTCAAGGACTCGGAGGCCAAAAGGTTTAATGAGTTTGTCGTTATTTTTTAACTTGTTCACTGTGTCTGGATGTGTTTTAAAAATGCAGACTTGTGCTGGGTTTTCTGTTGATAAACATTTTATTGTGTATTGTAATGAAAGTTGCTTTCATCTAAAAGTTAGTGATGGTAATTTGGCCTCGTCCTGGAGGCCTTCCAGTGGAGAAGTGAAGAAAGCTCCTAGGGTGAGGCAGAGTCCTTGGTTATGTATAGGGTCTAGCACTTATAAGATGGGTCTTGCCAATCCATAGACATGACGTAGTCAAGTCTGGATTGGACAAAGAAACAGTAAAGGTGGAAGAGGTGCAGCTGTCTTTCCAAAGATCTTAATTGAGGGTTTCTAGATCGGAGGCATATCAGAAAGTCGTCAACATATAACAGATTGTCTATGTTGTTTTGGAGGGGCTGAATTATAGAATTTATTTTGAATTCAGAGAGGAGAGGAGAAAGGATGCTTTTCTGAGGAACACCTTTCTCTTGAAGGTGGGGATCCAAAAGCGATGATCCGACACCAACTTGGAAGGAACAGTTCTTGAGAAAATTGCCAATGAAGACAGGGAGGTGACCGCATAGGCTGAGAGCATGCAGGTCTCTAAGAATTCAGTACTTCCAGGTTGTGTTGAAAGCTTTCTCTAGGTTAAAAAAGATGGCGATCATGTGGCCTCCTTTGGCAAAGGTTTTGATTATAAAAGTCTTTAGGTGGACCAAGTGATCCTGAGTACATCAAGTTTTCCTGAATCCACACTGGTGACCTCTCAACGAACCCATCGTCTCCAGAAACCACATGAGTAGCCTGTTGGTCATTTTCTCTATAAATTTGCAGAAACTGCTCGTTAAGGCCTGGTTTGGGATTGGAATGATAGTGGCCCGTCGCCAGGACTCCGGAGAGGTGAGCCTCAGCCATATGTTGTTGTATACATTGAGAAAAAGTGTGAGTATTTCTGTGGGCGGACCCAGGGCTGTATTGCCCACGTACGAGATGTGTGACGTTAGTTCATCAAGTGTGAAGTCTGCATTGTAAGTTTCTGTGTTGTTCGAGGAGAAGTTTAGGTGTTGGTGTTCTCTGTTAGATTTGATGTTTTGGGAAGTGGTGTGGTTGTTGGTTTTGGATGAAATGTTCAAAAGAGATGTAGCTATTGTGTTTGCCATGTCTATCTGTATTTCTTCTGTGGTGCCATCCGGCCTCCCAACGAGCCGGATGGTGTCTGTGCCCCTACCCGAAAATTTAAAAACTTCATTAAATTTTGGTGATTTGAGTCTGACTGTTGATTTATTTATGAATGTATTTTTTAAAGTTGTCCTATGATTTCCAAGAGGTATCTACGTGCCTCAGCTCGAGCTTTTAGGTATCTAATTTTGTTTTCTGTAGTGCAGTTCTTGATGGCTCTTCAATATGCTGCCTCCTTTTTCTTTATGGCATCATCACACTCCACAGAGAACAAGACCTACTCTTATTGATTTTAAGACCACCAAGGGATCTTTAACGTGCACAACTTTCACACAGGACCTCTGAGATTTTTTTACCTTTTCCGAGAAGGCTAAGTGTTCAATCTTACCTGCCCTACGATCAGGGATGTAGCTGAAAGACAGCAATATTAAGAAGGAGTCTGGAGTAGTAGTACAAAGTGTCTTGAGTAAGGGAGGCAGGAGCCCAGAGGAGGCTGGGGTTTGGGGAAGTGGAGATAACAGCAGAAAACATTAACAAAACAGGACTAAAGAACCAGAAACATTTTCAGTGTACGCATTATCATTGCCAGGCTCACTGTGCGAGAATATTTGTTCATAGAAAATATTCAATACATTTATATATACACACATAGTATTTTGCTCCACACGCACACCCAACAAGTAATTCTAAAATGTGATATTTCTTTAACTGTAATGCGTATTCAACATTTTAAAAGAAAATGGAACTCCACCATAACTGCTATTCATTATTATTATAATATTATTACTACTACTTTGTAAGACCTTGTAATATAATTAGCCCCCCCCCCCCCCCCTCCCTCCCAGCCTGAAAGAAACAAAAAAAAAAAAAGCAACAGTTGTTCGAATAACCTAATTATAGAATTTCTTTTCTTGTGCTCTCAAGCTAAAAACTTGATCTTGACAAATCTAGCATGAGTACAACAAAATAATACACAGCCAAATCTGCCTAGACGGCTACCTGTATAGAAAACAACCAGTGCAAATTGTCCTTACCTCCTCTTTGGCATTGCCTCAAAAGTAAACCTGTCTAATGCTGCCACAGCTACTATATTCTATACTAACAGCTCCAAAAACCTGCCCAAGATGACCACACAAATCTCTCATTGCCAGACCTTCGATATAAATTATTTGTTAGCCCCTGATACTGTTTACAAGAAGTCATAACCTATTCACTTGTCATTATTGTTGTTGTCCTATGAAAGAACCATTCGCTGACTAGGTAATTTCTGGTCCATCCCACTGTTGACCAAAGTTAACCAGTTAGTAACATTTTGTTGGGCAGTCCTAAACCTATGACCGCCTTCGGTTGGGATCTAAGAAGGGAATGGTTTGGTTTTTTTCCATTTTGATCAGTCTTACGTAAGACTTCTCCTAAACAATGAGTGGCCGTCTTAGATAATTTCAAACACTCACTGGAGTCTGCTGCAGTTTGGCCTCTCTCAGCTTATCTTGAAGTTCATTCACTTTGGTTGAGAGTTGAGACTCTTTCTGTCTTAGAGCAATCATTTGCTCTGCTTCACCAGCAGCTTTCTTTAGCTGAGCCTGAAGGTGTCGGATCATCACCTGTAAAACATAAAGATATGTTTTACACAGCCATCAACACAATTTAGATCATTTAGAAGGTTGTCTGCTTTGATTCGTCTGTAAGGGCCAACCCAGGTTAAATATGGTTCAACATCCCAAACAGACAATTGGAGACCTTTGATAAATAGCTTCTCAAAATAGGGATCAAATTCACCTGTACTGCATGCAGCGGCCCAGAGCACAGCCATTACACTTCAGATACCTGTCAAGAATTACATAGTTTGTTGTTGGATTACAGTCAAACTTGAATATAACAGAACAGAAAGGACCGGCAGTTTTTCCCTGTTATAAGCGAGTCCTTTTATGATCGTTATCAGGGGAAACTACCAGTACCATTGCATCTTCAACTTACTATATATATTCGATTACCGCAGATCCTTTAGCTGACACTGAGACAAAATCGATCAGTGATCCGAACACTATGGGGATGTTTGTGTGTGTATGAGTGTGTGTAAGAGTGTGTGTGTGTGTGTGTGTGGTATGTGTTTGAAAGTTTGTGTTTAGGCAAGCGATCATACAAACAGGCAAAATGTCTTGTTTGAGACAAATGGGTTGCGACGTAGTGGAATCAGGCGTTCGTCAATATTTGGGCATATGGGGTTACTGGTATCATCTAAAAGCCTTGTTTTTGGAGAAAACAATATCCATCTATGTTGAATAGAAGTCAAGATGGGGGTAGCCTGGTTTCAGAGATGAAACTAGCGAGAAAATGGCGGTCAAAATTTGGTTATTTCCAAAGCTTGAGAATACTTAGAAACTGACAATTTACCATTTTTGTGCGTTTAATCAATGTTTTTCCATAAAATCCACACAGAAATGTATTTTCAAAAGGACGTAAAAGGTGGTGAGCCAAAAAAACAAAAATTCGACAAAAGTTGCCAAACCGTCGGGAAAAATGCAGATTTCTTTGATTTCATGTTTTGACCACCACCTGATTTCACCACGATGCCTCACAAATTTAAATAATTTGACAGATTGAAAGCAAGTTCATGCGCTGCAAGATCACTGTTATATCAGAGTCTGCACAAATTGAACCATTTTATAGCGAGGGTTCATATTACTTACACTTTTAACCCCAGGGGATTTGATTTACCACTGTTATATATCCAAGTTCCTGTAATAACAGAGGCTGTAATAAATGGACTGGATTGTATAGTCTATATAATTTACAACAAAGACAATTTTTATTGATCCTGGTTGAGATAAACCAAGGCAGATTCAAAGAGATACAGGGAACAATTCTAGTCCTGGTTGCCTTTGTTGAAGTCGAACACCATACTAAATTATGTTTATAGTAGTGCTTTATGGCAAGCCAGACTGAAAACTTATTCATTTTATAAGCAACAAATTAATTGTTCTGGCACTATAAAGAAATCAGAGGTGTGCACGCAACACAAGAGAGTAACCTAAAGCTCTAGAAAAGGTATACAATCTCTATGTTATGTATTCAAACAAGGGTCATCTGAAAATTAGGGCATCACTTTATGATGGGACAAAGCTCTGAGAGAGGACAAAGAAGAAATCAAGAAAGGAAGAACAAAAATAAGGGGGAGGAGAAGAGGGGGAGAAGGACAAAAAGAAGAGAAGGAAAAAGAAGAGGAGGACAAGAAGGAGGAAACAAAGAGGACGAGGCAGATAAAAAGAGGATGAGGAAGAGGGGGAGGAGGACAGTGCCAAGGGAGAAGGAGATGGGCGGAGGAGAATGGGGAGAAAAAAATTGTTTAAAAAGGAAGATGGGGAAAAGAAAAGGGGAGGAGACCAGGGAGAAAAAGGAAAAAGAAAATGAGTGGAATAGGGAGAAGAGGGAGGAAGAAGATAAGGGAAGAAAGAGAAGGAAGACAGAGAAGAAGGAAGGTTTACCTCTTGAGTGTCACATTTACTCTGTAGCTCTGCGGAACGGGAGGAGGAGACCTGGAGTGCCTGCTCAGCCACAAGTCTTTGTAGCTCCTTCTGGTGGCTAGAGCGCATCACCTCGATCTGTTTGAGTCAACATTAGTGAGCTCTTTAGTAAACAAAGCTGGAATCATTGAGCTGTTATGTGTGTATGGTGCCAATATTATTAACTCACCCAGCCCTACCGCCGATAATATCAGTATGCGCGCGCAATGCTCCAACCCTAACACTGACAGTATCGGTATGGAAAATTTCACTCTCGTGGTCGAAAACGTTACTTTTGTGTGAAGTAGACTACAGCCTAATTAGAAGAGTGACTATATTTCGTTTGAAACAGACTATGACCAGAAGTGCAAGCCCAAATTTAGAACAAAAAAAAACTATATTCATGAACCTTGTGAGGGGGTGCGAAATTTGAACGCAATTCCTTTCTTCGCTTCTGGTTTACTTTTTAATTCGGTATATAGACCTTTTCCAGGAAGAATTGCATAAAAAGTATGACTAATTTTGTCTTCAAATTTTCAATACTCACAAATAAAAGCTTGAATAAAATGTGTACCAAATTTGGGTAGGATATGTTAACATTTAGCATTTTTTTCAGTTTTTCAAACAGTGGTACTAATCTCTAGGGAGAGCTGACAACCCAGAAGTGTAGGCCTAGAGGTGAGTGAGTTAAGCTTTTTAGTGAACAGAGCTGACATTAATGAGCTGTATAGTGTACTTTCATTGTCTGAGTAAAGAGAATTAGAAGAATGCTGGCACAATAGCCATCATTAAGTGCAAGGAAAGACCAATTGGAGAGACACCTGTTTTGTACTATATTCAGAATACTCTAAGATATCAAATAAGCCCCCCCCCCCCCCCCCCCCCCCCCCTCTTATTACTGATTAATTTTCAGGTTTTTTTGCGCATCCCCCCACCCCCTCTTATTCCACACATCCTGTTTATTATTTTCCAGCTTGCCATGACCAAAGATTATGTGAAACATTATGTCTACAATCTAGACAGTTGAATGAAACTTTGTTTTGTTTTGTAAATGGCAAATTACCTTCAGTATTAGTACTGGTACCGGGTTGGCCACCTCAATTTTCTGTACATTTTAAAAACCTTTGTACATTGGTTTATATTTTTTAATGAAATTGGTTTGTTCCTAAATGGGAAAAGTTCTCACAGCAACTTACTAAAATCACAAAAATTTCATGATCTCTTGTTCTTTTATTCACTGGAGGAGAAATAGAACAGATTTATCCTACTAGTACAGGGGTATGAATGGAATTTATTTATTCCCCCCCCCCCGTTTATTCGATACCTTAGAGTACATCTAAAAGTTATTTTTACAGTGCATTTCCTTTTCCTTTGTTCTGATCAGAAAAACACATCAGATGTGTCACCATGTAGTAGCTGCCAGAATGACCACAGACCCACATGATGGAGGTATTTTCAAAGGGGTATATGACTCTTGGTTTAGTTTTAGTTTAAGTAGAAGTTTTACGACGCTCGCAACTGCATAAGGTATTATGAGCGCCAAGGGGTGGATGTCAACAGAGAAGTCTTTACAGGGAATCAGACTTACTCCGCTCACCTCTCTAGCTTCAACAGCACAGAGTCTGCTTCGACTATCAAGGCACCCCGGAAATAGCGGGTCACAAGAGAGTGACAAACATACAAAAGAAGTAGACAAAAAAAGACGATAGTAAGGATTAGGAAAGAAAGAAAATGCAGCAGTTCCCTGTTGCTGTTCAGGCAGTTATGAGCATGACATTAATGAATCAGCCCATTTACAATTATACTGTGCATTAGAAGATCTTAATGTTACCCCTTTGGGAATGGCCCAAAGACACTTCAGTTAGTAGCACCGCCCCAGGAGGGAAGGTATATGACTCCGAAAAGTTACAGTATAATAGAACAGGCGTACAATCTATGACAGGAGCAAGGTGGGGGGGGGGTGTTGGTGGTGGAAGGCTGAATTATCACCGACTATCACTACATGCAGAATTCAGTAGAACCAGAATAATTAAGCCAACTATAAATAAAAATCTAGTTAAATAAACAAGCAGATGCTAAAAACAAAAAACCAGGCAGAAAGGGGCCCAAAGAAATATTTCAAACTATTTGGTTAGCAACTCTTTTTCGATCTTTCTACTATTGTCAAATTATTTCAGTTTGGCTGACCGTAATATATGACAATCCTAATCCCCATAAAGAGAGTCAATTCAATAACTCCCATTTTCCATAAATTTTAGTAAGAGTTTTACTGCGTTCGCAACTGCATAAGGTTATATGAGCGCGCGGAACACTAGTTAGTTGCATTTATTACAATTCATAGCATGGCTTAGATCAAAATTCGATTAAAAATGTTAAAACCTGTCGTAAAAACTTGGTTTTAAAATAATACTATAATCTTAAAATAACGCTATCTGCAGTTTACAAGGATTCTGTTGAGATCAACAAAGGAAAACAGACCTAGCAATTTCTTGCATTTAAAATATTTCCATCGGGTCTCTTCCAAGTCTGGACATTCTGTTAAAATGTGTCTAACGGATTCTCATCTCCCTGAAGGAGGTATTTGTGTGTCAGAGAGGTGTGTCCAATGACCAATGCGTAATCGAGTAAGACTGACTTCGTCTCTTCTGGAGAGGCCTGAAGGATTTCGCAGTCCCAGTTTGGGCCCAATGCTGTGAAGTTTACTGTTCGTTTGTTTTTTCCAAAGGATCTCCCACAGACTGGAGGTGTACTTTTTAACTTTATTTTTAAAATCAGTCTGCGGGAGAGTGTTCGTCGTTGATCCCAACAGAAGGGATAAGGATTTCTTCGCCAGGTGATCTACCTGCTCGTTTCCTCGGATGCCCACATGGCTAGGTATCCATGCGAACACGATACTTTTCCCGGTTTCAGTCAAGGTGTGTATTTTTTGTTGTAGCCCAACTGTTTTTGGGTGTAGGAGCGTGTAGTTTGTAAGTGAGGTGATGCAAGACAGAGACTCAGAAAGGATAGAGATAAAGATTTGTTAGGAGAATTTTCTACGCAGTCCAGTGCCATGTCAATGGAGTTGATATAATGATGCGGCAAGTACGGAACTTTCGGAATGTACGGATTTGCGCAAAAAAAAAGAAGAATGAAAGCACTACAGAGTTGGGTTTTTTTCTTTTTCTTCTTTCGGCACCCATCGCAAATCCGGTAGCTTTGACACCTTATCGGTATGGCGTTAGAACAGGCCCAAAATCGGTATCTTCCGGGAAGATCGGTAGATTTAGGCAGCCCTGTGGGGGTGTTTTGCCTTTGTGAGGAGCCACAGAGGGAAGTCGGGGAAGAGAAATAGTAGGATGTCTTGTTTGGAAAAGTGTATGTTTTTGAGGTCCTCAAGGACTCTGAGGCCGAAGGGATTGATGAGTTTTTCGTTGTTTTGGAATATGTTTATGGTGTCTAGGTTTGATTTGAAAATGCAGTCGTGTGCTGGGTTCTCTGGTGTTGAGTAATGTTTAATTGTGTATTGTAGTGAGAGTTGTGTGCATCTGAGTGCGAGTGATAGTATGTTTGCCTCCGCCTGGAGGCTTTCCACAGGAGAAGTGCTGACACCCCCCCCCCCGAGGCAGAGTCCTTGGTTTTGCACTGGGTCTAGCACTTTTAGGATGTGTGATTTTGCCGATCCATAGACTTGACAACCGTAGTCAAGCCTGGATCGGACAAGGCTAATAACTGAGTACATGTTATCTTATCAATATTGATAAATAAAAACAATCAGTATAATCAGCGCAATTCAAGTTTTTATGGAGACGGGTCATTTAAAAACTGCTAGTCAGGGATAACCCAGGCTGGGTGGAATACATCCAAATAGAAAGATGGAGACGGTCAATAAAATTTGTCTTTAGCAAGTAGTTAACTAACCATAACATCACAGAAGCTAGTCCTGTAGAATATGTAAATCCCAAAATGTTGACACGTGGCATAAGCAAACTAAGGGCGCTCTAGGAAACTGCAGCATATCATTTCCGTACTATCACCACACAATTGTGCCTGTGGTCATCATCCTTACCTGGTTCTCCAGCCTCTCTGTGTTCTGCCTGGCTACGGCCTCTGTTTCTGCCAGTAGTCGCCTCAGCTCCACACGCTGCTGGTCAAACTCCAATTGCAACTGGTCAATCTGGTTATAAAGGGGGGAGAAAAATGTTTTTAAGAAGGAAAAATAAAAATAAATTCTGGAGAAAAATGGGTGCCGGTTTGGCTGAAGGTCTATCACGTTCTACCATAAGTCCCGCCTGATCAACCATGGTCTACCAAGGGGCCATAGGCAGTGGTGTTAAATGATTGCGATGTACGGATGGGTGTATTTTTTAATGTTGCAGTGTCATTCACATAAAAGAATTTTACAGTGGTAAACATTGTGTATGTATGTATAGTATAAGGTTTTACGGCGCTCGCAACTGCTAAGGTCATTTGAGCGCGCGAAACACAAGTTGTTCACCTCTGCGAAAGTTCACTTCACGACTGGCTAACTAATTTACTTTAAAATGCTAAAAAGTTAAAATATTCAAATTCGGTG